CAATTAAACGTAATTGCCTTGCATTTGGAAAGTTGTACCGTAATTTAATTTATTTTTAGTTTATTATTTTTGTGGCATACTTTATATATTTAAGTATAGTACTTGGAGTACGTTGTTATCAAAGATCTGCAATGAGTTTTTCCTTTGTGTGCTTTTTAGGATTTCAATCGAACTTAGTTTCATATTAATATCATTTCATAGAATCAATGTTACCGGAATGAAATGAATGAATAATGATAAACAAGTACAAATACTTTTTTTTACTTTCAATGCCGTCAAAGTTAGTCATTGCAAATCTCCGATAGTAAATCTTTTAGATTGGGATTAAGTTTTAGACTAAACTGAAAAACTTAACAGCGATGTGAACAGTCGTTAACCGCGTCTTATATAATCTATATATATATATGAAAAGTTGCAACGATTAGCTTGGATCAAAATTCAATATCAGATTATGTAGAGTAAATTTGATTTATATAGTGGATATAGGAGGATTATGCTTAAGTTCTTCTTTTGATTCCGATGCATTTGTCTTCAATTTCGAATACAATTTTCATAATTGCTATTAACTTGGCTAAGAAACTTAATTGAATTGTATTATTGTCAGTAGTTTACGATAATGTATACCTAACTTTACACACGAGTATACATACATATAGTATGGTATATATACCCTCTAATCAACGACAATAAATATATATGTGTATTATTTTTGCTTAGGCTTAGCTTGCATTTACAGCTGTGAAATGGTTATTTAAGTTAGCTTTGGATTTGTTCTATCGGAACCTCAGATACGGACAAACCTTATGTACATATATATATATATATATATATATATATATATATATATATATATATATATATATATATATATATATATATATATATATATATATATATATATATATATATATATATATATATATATATATATATATATGTATAAGCGCGTCCGTTAGTGGGTTGCGTCCGACTAGGGTTGTGACAGGGCGGTAAGGTTAATCCAATCAGTTTTGTTAACAATTTGTAATTGTAATTTCGGCAAACGCCAAAGCATTGCATGGCATGGGTAGAACAGAAGTGTGTGAGAGAGAGAGAGAGATAGAAAGAGAGACCGGACATCGGACTAAACGGACGAACAAATAGCAGGCAAAATAATTCGCAACTCGTTGTCGACAGGTATAGCCACCGCCGGGGAGTAGGTTTAGTACCTGCCCCCAATGGATCGATAGTAATTTAATCGCGCGCTAACACTCATATTCCAGTATGAAGCTCTCGGATGCAGCTGCGGATGCGGAAGCTGCAGGCTTTGTTGCCGCTGCTGCTGCTGCTGCTGCTGCTGCTGTTGCCGTTGTTGTTGCTGCTGCGGCGGGTGTCACGACATGTTGCTGATGTAGCGCTGTTGATCTACCCAAATTTACTTGCGACAACATTGCGGTTGCCGATAATTTGCCATTGTATGTGAGAACGCTGCCGCCGCTGCTGCCGCTGCCACCGCTGGACAGGCCATGCCCGTAATAGTTGAGCGCCGAGATTAGCGGGGACTTGCCTGACCCACTTTGATGCTGACTACGACGCTGTGATTGCTGTTGCTGTTGCTGTTGCTGCTTGGGGGCCATGTAGTCGGCTTGGCGCAGCGCAATGAATGTGTCAAAATTGTCCGCTGTCGAGGAGGCATTCGAGGTGCTCGAGTTGCGACGCAGTTGCTGTTGCTGCTGCTGTTTAGAGATGTGGTTTGGCAGTTGCAGCTTCTGCTGCTGTGACATGGATGAGTTTGAGGATGACGAATTAGATAGCGAAGAGGAGTTCAGCGAGTGTGCGGGCGGATATTGTTGCTGATTTGCGTAGTATTTGCGCAAATTCTCCAACATGTACCGATTATTTGCACTCGTATTGCTGTTTGCATTTCCAGCTGATAGGGCAGCCACAGGCGTCGCAGTTGCCCCTGCTGTTGTTGCTGTTGCTGTTGATGTCGCTCCCATAGCACTGGCTGCTGGTCGCAGCTGCAGCTGCTGCTGTTTACTGCTGGTGGCATACAGCGCATCGCTGGTAGGCCGAATCAAAGCCAGAGCGCCAATGTTAGCTGCCGGTATTGTGGTTGCTGCTGTTGGTGGTAGTGGTGCTTCTGCTGGTGCTGCTGCTGTTGCAGTTGAAGTTGCAGCAACACGTAGTGTACGTTCGTCAAACTGACTCGTCGCTGTTGCTGCTGCTGCTGTGGCAGCCGCTGTGGTATAGCTGCGCGAGTAATGCGCTTCCATGAGGTCGGCCCGTCGCTGTTTGGTGGTATGCAGCACCTCCGGCTCGCCACCAAAGCCATAGTATTCGCCGTGCTCATACATATGGCCCATGTCTGCAGTCGGCCTTAGTTGGCTGCCCCGCTCGATCCGATCAAAATCGCTGCGACTGCGTTGGAAGTGCGCCAAGTAGCTCTCGCCGCCACCTAAGGAAGCTATCGACTCAGCTACCGATACCGTCTCTGCTTTGTGCTTGTCATCCTGTCGCTGCAAATGCTGATTGAGCGATTGATAGAATGTGCTCTCGGCTAAATTCTCATTATAGGATGTCGCTAGCAGCTGCTGTTGCTGCTGCTGCTGCTGCTGCTGTTGGCGGCGGTACCAATCAGCATTTTCGTCGCATTCGTTGACATTGACGCGTATGCGAATGTCGCGCACCATATAATCAGGCTCGTTGGTGGCCACTATATCATCATTATCAGCATCAGCTTCATCCTCATCATTATTACCATCGCCTTCATCTTCATTAACAGCATGCGGCTCATCCTCTCCATCGTAATAAAAGAAACGCGCTGACTTGGCGCTTTCGGCTAAGAGCAGGTCCTCGCTCTCCTCTAATGCCAGCGCATAGCTGGTCAGATTATCAAAGTAGTATTCACACATTTTATCCGGATGCTCGTAGCGTAGCTTGAGCACAGACTCCTGCTCCTGCTGCTGCTGCTGCTGCTGCTGCTCCTGTGGCAGCTGCTGCACATTCTGTAAACTCGCTTCGGTTCTTTTTGTCACTGTTGGTCCGCTGAACACGGAGGCATAGTCCGAGCTGCTCAGCGAATCTGAATGGAAGGCCGCCTTGCTGCGACTGGCCGCACGTGCGGATATTGGCAAAGTGCCCAGATTCTCATAATTGGCTGCCATCTGGTTGTTGGCCTGCGACTGGCTTCGCTTGTGGCGTCGCCTCGGCGTGCCTGCAGCTATTGGCCTGCTCTCCGTTTCCGTCTCAGTTTCTGTCTCGCGTAAGCGTTGGGCGCTGGCTAGAGCTCGGCGCTCGGTCCCGCTGATGCGGCCCACTGAGTGCGCCGACTTCTTGCTGCTGCCCAGTTGCTGCTCGAAGTTCTGTTCCAAGTAATGTTCCAGATAGTGCAAATTCTTGCTTAAATCTATTTCTGATTTGTAGCTCTTGTAGATGGTCGCCTGTTTGCCGGCGGCGTGGGCAGCTGCGCAGCGGGACTCGTAGCTGGAGATGTGCGCACGATCGCTGATGAAGCGAAAGCTCTCATCTTTGGCAAGCGTATGGAAGCCACTAAATTCGCCGCCGTTGCTGCTGGCGTCGCTGCTGCTCGCCTTGAAGTTGCGACACTTGTCGCGTATCTTTTGTATGCCCTGCCTCGTCTTTGCCTGCAGCCGTTCGAAGTAGTTGGACTTGGGCGTCGTGGAGACATGAGGTCGTGGCCTGTACGGCGTGTGCTGGATATCGTATCCTCCACTGCCAGCAGCACGCATGCTCTGTATGCTCTGCGTGCGATTGGGATAGCGGTAGCTGAGTTTCAGCTTGGGTAGCGAGGGTGACTCTTCCGCCTTGTGCAGGCGGCGCAGGGAAAGCTGCTTAAAGATGGCCTTCGTGCGCTTCGGCTTTTGCGTCGTGCTCATCGCCTCCTGGTTGAAGTCCTGCCGCTCAAAGCGGCGCACGGGCACACCGTGCAGAAACTGCTGGTGCTGAGTGGCTGGGATGGCATTGGTCTGCCTATCGAAGAGTCGACGCAGACCTTTTCCGCTGCGTTGCGGGCGAGCTGAGCTGGCGCTGCGCAGCCGTGGATTAATGCCCAGCGTGAGGATCTCGTCGTCGTGAAAAATGGAGAACGGATTCGTGATAACCGTTGAGTTATCGGGCATAAGGCTGCTTACGGATCTGGTCTTAATGCTACTCATACCTTGCTTACAATTACTTAACGCTAAGTTCTGCTTACGGTCTAATACAACTACAACTTTGGCTTCATTGTGTTGGTGTTGGTGTGTGTCTTGTTGATGCGCTGTGTGCTGCGCGTGTGGCATCAGATCCGTCTCAGATCTGTGCCGTCGTATTTGGCGACGCAAACGTCGCAGCTCACGCAGCGAATTGCTCTGCTTGTGAAAGCGATAGAACGGATTGTTAATGCTCAGTTTCTGCAGCAGCAGCTGCGTCTCTTCGACACTCAACTGCCCAGCTACTGGCTTATTGTCGTCTATACTCGAATTTAGATCAGTTCCCCGATTACCCTCTAGTTCTTCGCCGGTCACATTCAAGCTGAGCAGATTGCCCTCAATGCCGACTGGCTTTAGTTCGCAGTTCATGTTGTTCTCTGGCAACTGCTGCTGCTGCTTGCTGCTGCTACATCTGCTGCTGCTATTTCTGCTACTATTCTTGCTACTATTTAGCGTACTGGCTAGGCTTAGGCTATGGGAACTGCTGCTGCGAGCCAGCCGATCAGCCAACATGTTATTGCTGTTGCTGTTGCTGCTGTTGGCTAACTCTAAGTTATTGTTATTATTACTATTGGTCAGTGTAGTAGTTGCAGTTGCAGTTGCAGTCGTTGTTGTTGTGTTATTTATACTATTATTGTTGTTGTTGTTGGTGTTTGTATTGGTGTTGGCATTTCTATTATCATGCTCATGTTCATGTTCATGTTGTTGTTGTTGGGGTTGCTGTTGTTGATAGAGAAGCTCGTTGCTTTCGTTATCAACTGCCTGCTAGACCCTAGTGGGCGGTTGTAATATCATTGCAGCCATGCGTACCTTCATTGCCTCCGGCGATCCATGTCCCGGATATTGTTGCTGTGGGTGCTGCGAGGCTGCGTGCAATGCTGCTGCGGCGGCAGCTGCCGCCTGTTGTTGCTGCTGCTGTTGTTGCTGCTGTTGCTGGTGATGATGGAAGCCGGCGGGCGTTGTGTAAATCGAATCACCTTGGGGCCCGCTGGTGCTATCCGACCGTGATTTCAAATCAGCCTTCTCGCTGCGGGCACAAATCAAACAAGAGAAAGCAAGAAATTGTTATCGAATATTTTTCTACAGAAAATTGTGTAGGGTAGATAACAGATTGTTCATGTTCAAGTGCAAGTGTATGATCGGCCATGGATTCATAGAAATCTGCGACTTCATATGCCCATACTCTTTAATAATCCTTTAGCTTATAAGGTATTTTCATATTAAAGAGCTGCTAAAGGAACTCTTCAACTATGTTGACAAGGCATACATATTCCATGACTAAAAACCAATTGGAAATTTGTAGCAAAGAACGTATATATTTATTATATCGTAACTTTTCCAGGGCATTGCATGTTCTGCCACGCAATAGTTCTTATTTGCTCTAATTTGCTGCTGTTTGATTGGCATATTTCATGCCAATCGCATATCTAAATATCCAGCTATTTCGTGCGCCCTTCGGCATTTTGGACGTCGACTTGGTGTGGTGGCGGTCCTTGGTTATTAAATCCCAGCCAGATCCCTCGAGGGAGTTAGCGTTTGACAAAATCTTTCGTTACGCTTTGATTGATACAAAAATTGTATGAATTTGGCTGTTAGTTGTTTGGGGCCTACTTTTTGGGTTTGCTGTGCAGTTTGGCTCGCATAAATAATGAATGCCGCGGGAAATGTGGCGCTACCAACTATGCTTATAACGGAAATTCAAAATCCATTTCCGCTATACCAACACTAACACACACACACACCATTACAAAAACTATTCTTTGCAATTTTCAACGCGTGTTTGTGTGTAGTCCGAGAGGGTGTTCCATAAACGAAATATGGTAATTTTAAAATGGACAACTATGGAAAGAGGGGCCGGCCAAATAACTGCCACAGCCTCATAACTCATGTCAGGACAAAATGAGGGGCGGCAATGAGCGATTGTTAAGGGGCGTGTTTCGCAGTGCCCGTATGCGTGTATGCGTCTGTGTGAGTGTATGGTCGTGCGAGAGCGAGTGCATGTTTGCTTGACGTTGCGCGCCAAAACAGGAAAATATTTTCCAAAAGCCGACTTTGCAATATTGAATATATAATATAGCGTAGAATATTTCATGCACTGCACAATCACACGGTGCGCATTATTCATGGGTACGAGCGAATATGTGCGCGTGTGGGCGCGCATGTGGCCAATCGGGACTCATAAATTGGCATGCCAGTGCCACCTGTTGGCTAGAAGCTGCATTGCTTTCGCCTTTCATAAAAATGTATCATAACCGGCCATTTGTTGTTCGCTTTGTGTGTGTGGGTGTGTGGGTGTGCGAGAGTGTGTGTGGTTTGTGTTTCGCTTCAACTTACCTGTCCTTATCCGATGATTTATAGCCCGTGGAACCTGCAAAGGCGAGTAAAAATAATATATATGAGAACTCTTTCGCCTGTACGTATTTGGCTCAAAATATATATTTATATGAATACATAAAATATTTATATATATATATACACATGGTATATATATTTGTTTTTCGAGCTGTGCTAAAAACAGGGTATTTTAAAGCCAAGCTTACGGACATATGTGACAGACAGACATGGATAGATGGCTGCAGATACAGATACATTTGTATCTGTGACTGCTACATTTTGACAAATGAGCCGTAAACCTATTGGTGACCATGAGGTGTTAAGTTGCCTTAAACCTGCCCATAAGAGCGGGGTAATTTTGATGGATTTCAACTAGCTGCGTGTGTGTGAATGGAAGATCTGTCAAACGCCATTTGATAACTTGGCAATTGGCGCCAGCTGCACAAATGTTCACGTCTGTTGCTGCTTTTTGTGTTCCTGTTTCGAAATTGACATTTTGATTGACAACTGAGAAATTGCACGCGCCGTGCTATTTGGGATTTAGCCTTATTTACGACTCAAGTTTTCAGTTTACAGCTGTATTTCAGCCAACAGGCCAATTGGCCACTGCAAATCCCTTAGCGAATTCTTTGAATCCCGACTCCGCAAAACTTTTCTGCGAATGTCCTTGAGCAAGTTTTTTCACAAAAAGTTTTCATTCCCTCAACACTTTTTTCTGGTAAATTGTTTTCCCTTTGCTGCTTTGTAAACTGTTTTTACAAATGTGCATTTTAATTGCGCGTTCAGCGAAAAGTTTTGCGACTCGATTTTGATTTCTAATTAGCCGAGCCCCTCCCTCTCTCGTTGGAATCCTTACGACTTTAAGCAGACGCATTTATATCCCGAGAACAATAAAAAAATATATATATGTATATAATTAAATATATATTTATATTAGTATAACTGTTCTTCCCGAGAGGGCTTTAACCCTTTTGTGTTTGTGTTAGCCAGCTGACCGCAGGCGTTGGCGGCACAAAACTCGCTAATGAATATTTTATGAGATTTATTTGAGTTTCAAAGAAAAAGAGAAAAAAAAGAAAGTGAAAAAAGGAACATCAGAAAACAGAATAGAAAAGTAAATAAAAGGCGCGGTTTCTCTACTTTTTCTGTTCTGTTTTTGTTTTTGTGTTCTATGTTTTGGCTTTGGTGCAAGTTTTTGTGTTTTTGCAATTAGTATGACAGCAAAATGTGGCATGCGCCAGCCGAAAAGTTCAACGCCATCTGGCGGCATAATGGGGATAATGCTTTAATTGCTGCGACGCGCATTCTCTTTGAAGCGCCGCGTAATTAATATGCGTCCCTCTTTGAGCGCTGGCAATTGTTTGGCTCAGCTGCAATTGTTGTTGCCACGTTCCTGTGTTCGCATTGCGCGAATCGAGTTTATCATTTTTAATGAGCAGCTTCCCCCCGCCATTTTCAACAGCTTTCGACTTACCCTTGAAGCAGCACTTTTTGCTCTTGACGGCGTAGATGCAGAGGCAGATCAGGATCAAAATGGCGGCCATGCAGCCGCCGGCGACGCCCAGCAAGTAGCTCATCTCCAGAGGTTCTGCGGCAAATGTTCCAATAATTCAATTGTTGTGGATGTTATTCGATTGTGGTGTTGCGAGCGTAGAAAGAAGTTTTAATTGTATATAAGGTTCAATTTGAATTGAAGTAATTCATATAGAAAAGTATTTAGTTGTTGTCTCTATTTTGCATGCTTTGTGAAATCAAATTATTAAGAGGTAATTAGTGTGTTACTGGGCAAATGCTCAGACCCGTGAAATGGCGAATGCCTGCAAATATTTTAATGTGGAAGATAAGTGGTACTACATTGAAATAACATAAATAAGATTATACGTTAATTGTGGTCCAAATAAATAATTTTTTAAAAATTAGATTTGACGAGGCTATGTCTCTCTACGATGTCTTCCACGAAGAAATATTTGCAGTATTGAAATTCAAATATATTTTACATGTGTGTTTAACTAAGGTGGGAATTATATTGAAAATAAAGAAAACACTATGCACCTGCAAACGTACCCTCCACAATCAAATGAATGGCATGGCGATCGGTGCCTCGCTCGTTCTCCACTACCAGGTAGTAGGGACGCGAGTCGTGTTCATCTGTGTGGTGTATGTGCAGCGTAGACAAGTAGCAATCCTCTCGTGTGTCCGTGAGCATATCATCAGCTCGAAAGCGATCTAGAAAACGCGATAGGGTTATAAATGGGGAATAATTATAAATATTGTATTTTGATTTTGTAATTGATCATTAAAATTGCCAGTTGCATGTGATATTAAAAAATACAAATAATAAAAAATTAATGAAACAAGACAACGTGGCGTATGCGCAACGATTAGTAGTCGAAGCTGAGTGGTATGGCATGTGGTTTGGCGTGTAATGCGCTTTGCTTGATTCCTGTCAGTGGCAAGTACGCCGGATTACACGCACGTAGGGTCAGACGGGAACAGATGGACTGCAGCACTGATGGCAGCCAGACGGATGCGCACGCAGACAAGCTGAAAATGAAGAGTAATGTGCTAGATTTGTTGGTAGCTGAAGCTGGAGATGGATCAGCACGGCTGCAGCTGCAGCTGGAGCTGCACAAAATACGTTATCCAGCACAGTTTAAACTGAAAAACGAGCTACATATGGGTATAGCTGGCACGGCGTCTCCCTGTCAGCTGCAAGCCGGGATTACCGGCAGCTGACAAGCGTGGGAAGTCTGCTCGAGCATCGACAATAGTTCTCGTCTCGTTGGAAGGGAGGCTACGCCCAGCTGCCAATGCTAATGCCACACTACCCCAGCATGATGGTGGCATTCGTCTGATTTTGGCATCGAAGCTGCCGACTGGTGGACATGTAATTTGTCTTGATTTGTGCGATGTCCTGCTGTCTGCCGTTTAGGGACACGTAGCACGCTCAACGTTTGTTCAATGTCAAATTTGCGGAAAAGGTTTGTTAATGAGCACTCAAGCGAGCAGCAGGGCAACTAACACCCACCGATGCCCTCTCGAATGTGCGTGACGTGCACTGCCTTAATTGAGTTGCGGCTTATTGAAAAAGAAAAACTTCACGCAAGCATCTAATTGTATTTGCATTAGCTGCCCAATGAAGCGCACGAGCTGACGTTGAGTATACGCACCTATGCCCGTGCCGGCCTCCAGACGCAGCGAACCCCACTCCCAGGCCACGAGTTGCGGTCGCGGATCGGCACAGACTACCATCGTTAGACTAGCTGGTTCGCCGCGCTTAACAGACACAGTGTGCATTGAGGGATGCAGGCGAAGCACCTGCGGAGCACCTGAAAAAATAATAAAATTATATAAAATATGTATTTAGTCACCAAAGTATTATTATTGCTGTCTTAATTTAAAGCACATACATTCATATGACGATGGAAAGAAGGATAGCCTGTTAATCGAATTTTGGATAATTGAAACATAAAATCATACTTCTAAATAAATAAATAGCTCGAAATTTGTTGGCAAACAACTTTCCTATCTGCAACTCATATGTTTAAAGACACTTTTCATTTAGAGTAAACTAATTTAAAATGTTCTTTACTTTTCAATTTTAGTATTGCAGTCATGCGGCCATCATCCTTTATTAAATTAAAATTTTTATTAAATTTTAAGAATTCATGAAATGATTTTTAAAAGGTTTACTTATTTGATAACTAAAATATTGGGTTTTATTTTTTGAATATTAAACTATTAATGAAAATCATTTTTTGAAGTCTCTCTATGCATGACGAAGATCTATTTATATATATGTTATATGCATAAAAGGGGAAATACTTTACTGTATGTGAAATGAACTGAAATAAAGTGATCTTAAAGTGTTTTGTGGCTGCAGAAGTAGACTTTAAAATATAAATTAAAACAGCTCCCTCTGCTTAGCATATTTTGTTGGCCAGCTCGGCTAAACGAATTTTAAATGTCTCATCCCAGTTTTAAAGTTTGGCAAACCGGCTGGCAAACTTTCTTGTCTGCAGAGTATTTGAAAGTCGTGAGCGCGCAGCTGCACATAATGAGCTTTGCTTTTTTTTCAATTTATTTTTTAGCTGTTGTCAGTTAACTAGTTCGTTAGTTACTCCATGCACACACTCGAATATATGTTTATATATGTGTGTGCGGCGAGCGGGGACACCGTTTTTTTGCCACAGACATATAAAGGATATAGCACTTTTTTCCTCACTGGCTCTGCTAAATTGCTCGTGTCCTTGGTTGGTCATAAATTATGTACGTGCTGTGGTATTCAGCACTAAATTTAAATATATATGTAGCCGCTCACTCTCCCTCCCGCGTCTCTCATCCTCTGTCTCTGTTTGTCTCTCTATTTCTGCTTTTTCCTCTTTAGCTACTCGACGCTTGCTCGCGGCCGTGTTGGCCATGGCTGTTGTTCTATTTTGCCGCGCTTCTGCGTTTTTTATTTTTTGTTGTTTTTTGGTGCCTGCATTTTTATACTCTACAGTTTTTTCGCTTTTTATCCTTGTGGTCATAAGTTCATTTTGATTTTCTGTTACATTTTGGTTTAGTCTGATGCCAGCGCAAGTTGCCGCTTGCTAAATTTGCAGTGAGACTAACGGCGCCTGCAGCCTAAAATTGCGGCCGGGGGAAGCTTGCGACTAGTGGCGAAGGAGTGGCAGGCACTGAGACAGACAGAGAGAAAGAGAGAGAGAGGGAGAGTGAGGAGTAAGAGGATGAAGAGAGAGCATTTGAAGGGGGCATTGGCAAAATCGCAGGCGCTTAAAATGTTTTCCACGCGTTTTCCGGTTGCAGTTTTTAATGGAGTTTTGTGTTATTTTAAGTGAGCATTAGTTGCGCGGAGAGCGTGAAGTATACACGACTAAGACGTGCAAGAAAAAAAGACAAATAGAGAGAGAGAGAAACAATCTAGCAGGACAACGTGGCTGTAAATTTGTAAATTTGTAAATTTCTGTAAATTTCTTTTGGCATCTATTGTTGCTGTAATGCCCTTTCTATTTCTTAAAACACAAATACATGATGTAATTATATATATCGGAGCTTGAACCTGTTTGGTCACCTGCCGTAGTAAATTCTACTTTCATAAACGCCCATTAATTAATTCCCATTGTTTATATCAAATTCCTAAATGACTTCGTCCACTGACAATCACAATGACACCGAATGGCCTAAGTAGCCATCTCACTCTCACTGGACAGCACTCGGAACTACCATCTTTGTCTTTCTTTCACTAGTGACAATTTTAAATCACAAGCCAGCACTAAGAAGCGTACCAACACGCAAATTTACTCGGACCTTCAAAACAACTCTTACGAGCTCTCAGCATAACACCAACACCATTGCAACAGTATAAGTATTACTCTGCTGAAGCTGAAGTAATACCAACACAGCACTGTCTATCTGTAAATATGTTTATATAATCATACATGCAAAAAGTAAGTCTATTTATATACATACACCAGTTAAGTATATTAAATTGTTTTATTTTTATCTTTGAATCAACTCCCCATAGATGCATACAACGGCAATATTTGAAAATACATTTTTAAGCAACGCTGTGAAGCCTAATATTTTTTGAAGAATAGGAATTAGCCTAAGCCTAAGGGATTTGAATCTGCATATTTGATAATATACAATCAATTACTTCATAAGTCATTTTTAATATGAAATTCATATTTTTGCAATCGACTTCTAAGAATCACAAACAAAGAAATTTATTTTTGTTCATCATTGTTAAAAAGCCTTAAATAAAAGTATTAAAGGTACACAAGATACATTGGAAAATGCATAACTTACGTCCAGCTGAGTAGATTTACTTTAAATTTCGCAATTTTAAATTCTATGAACTCAAACTATTCCCATTTCTATTGAAGCTAGAGTCTTGAATAAAAAATGTATGCTTACACCCACGTGTGGCCAATCGGATTTGACTATATAGTATTTTGCTCAAATTCTGAACCCACATATAACCCACATAAAAAAAATATATTTATATCTAAATCCATACGATGAGTGGCAACCACAAGAGTCTATATATTTTAAATTGTAGATCTAGAATCTCGATGCACATACACAATTTTAAGCAGCTTTAGGGGTGTGGCATATAGAAACAACTGTGTAATTTTAACATTTCTATAAATATTCATCAGTTTTACAGTTGTTAAATTAAAATATATAAACTAAATGACCCCTTCTATTGATCTACCAATATTATTATATATAAGCCTGGAAGTCTTGGAAGTGACAGTCAATGGGTATTATGCCGTCGATAGCAATCGACTGCAACGCTCTTTGTTCTTTTAGCGTTGGTCGATGCCGTTATTATTGGTCATCAGCTTAGCTAACAGTTGCTCAGCAATCGTAACTCACTTTTCAGTAACCTTCATATATATATTTTTTACAAGACTTTTTTTCCTGGCGACAGTTGCGCCTGTTCGTATTTTGCGGTGTTGCGGCCTTTGTGGCTGCCCTGCAGCAACATGTGCATAAAAAGAGTTGTGTGCACACAGATGCATGGTGCGGACTTACCCACAACTTGAAGGGACACGGGATCGGAAATTGCCACCCGCTCCTGTCCGTTGATGTAGCTGGTGGCTCGGCACTCGTATTCGCCCTGGTACTCGTAGGTGACATTGTCGATGACCAGGCGCGGCTCATTTCCGCGCTCCACGTACTTTGATCCATGCGAGATTCTGCAAGTGCAAATCAGAGAAACATCAATGAAAAAAGTTCGTCAGTTGAGGTGGGAGTAAGGTGAAGACGTCGCATACTCTGGAGCGTTTCGCCTTGCTCTTTTACGCAAATGTTTTTGTATTTTCTTCTTACTTACTGTCAGCTTTTTGAGCTGCAAATCAATTGGGAAAATGCAACAAGCACATTGCAACTGAAACGGAGGCAAGGGTAAAGGGGCAACTGTTGCTGCAAGTTTTGTGCAGCAATATTGAAAATTGCGTTTGTGGGTGAAATATTTTCGTTGCTTTTCGTTGCAAGCAAAAAATATTTGATACATTTTTTAATATGAGAAATGCCTTTTATGTTGCGAAATGCTTTCAGCTCAGCTTCGACACAACTACAGAGCCACCCACACCCATTTTGGCCACAGTTTTGGGCTGTGTTGGGGCTGGGTCACAGACAAATTCCTTTGATATGTGCACATAGTTGAGCTTGGCTCGCTACCCGATGCATGGAGCATGTGTCGCCAGCTTAAAGCGCCAATTAAAGCAGCTTTCAGAACGGCACAGCGGAACACGCTCGTCGCAATTAGAAGCAATAAATTTGAAAGCCATTTAAATGCAAATCTTGCGGCACACACAAATGAAGTCGCAAAAATTCGATGAAAAAATGCCAAGCACAAAGCGCTCTTTACTTTGCCCATTCAGCGAGGCTTTCCGTCGAAATTTTCCACGTAAATCAAAGTGACATGCCTTTTCCTATGCCACCCATGGGGCTTTTCCTTTGGCAAATACATTCGCAAAGCCAAGTGGCGGGCAGTTGTGTGGTTGCATTTGCATGCCCGCGGTTGAGCTGGCTGGTTGGCTGTTAGCCAGCGGTCAAAGCGCCTTCGGCATGCCAGCCACCTCAGCATAGGTAGCCTGTCAACAGCGCACACCATTGCATTGATTTATTGCACACACACACACATATACACTCACACACAAATATATTGACACTGTTCCTTGTTGGTTTTGCTTGGCACGCGCCATTTAATGTGTCTTTGGCGCGAGGGGACGACCGTGGAAATTAGTTTTCAACAATTGACATTTAATTTCTGATAAACACGCGCGGGCACGCTTCATTAAGTCAACACGCCAGGGCGTTGCATGTGGAATTTGCTATTAGAATTTGACGCGCTAGCGATTCAGCTTAAGCAGAGCCCCTCACATACAGACACACGTTCACTGTCTTACGGAGACATTCATATATCGTATAAGTAGCTGTAGGGGAAAGTACAAACAAATGAAATCACAAATCACGTACAGGCTGCTTGTCGGCATCTGATCTGAGCACTGAGTTGACTTTGTGGCATACAGCAACCAGGCAAAAGAGCGAGATGGAGGGAATGTAGGGCGGGGCATGCTATGGACTATTTCCATTTTTCCAACATGACGAGCTGCTGCCTGTTGAATGGACAAACGAACGTACGAACGCCCGGAAGGGTGTGGTGCTGCTTTGCATATTAATGTACCCAAGAGTTGCACAAAGAAGCTGCACTGAAGTCTGCCACAGTAAATTGTGGCTGCTACTAACTACCCTCACTGAACGTCGCCAAATAATTGGGGAAAATGAGACAAAAGATTTAAAAAAAAAGAAAGCAGCTATAAAAAAATTGCTAATTAAAAAAAATGTTATAAAACCAAGAAGAATTCAGTTAGTTGAATTGGCTTGTCTTGAAGGTTGTTTCCGTCATGGAATTGCTAAAATACGTCTAAGTTATTATATTTTTGCTGAGTACGTCATATCTTAAAAGAAGCCGAATAAGAATAAAATAAGTATTTATATATTTGATGTCGCATTTGAATTTGTCTCGGAATCTTAACGGAGAATTGTAAAACTTAAATAAAATAAATATGGATCGAGGTAAAAACTGCTGGGTTGTCTGCTGTCTGCAGTCTGCTGTTCACTCTACACTTGCGCGCCCAGCTCCTCCCACTCTTTTAATTTGTGCACAACTTCTGCTGTGCAACTAATTAAATGACTCAAACTTCAAGTTAAAAAAATGTTGGGCGTAACCGCAGAGCTATGCGAATTAATAGGAGCTGCTGCAGCAGCTACTCCAGCTGCTACTTCTGCAGGAAGTTCACCCGCATACAGGAAACCTTATTTTCTATTCAAGTTTAGTATCATATTTAATAAAACTAAGCTGTTCCGTGCGGTTATCTGTGACTCTATAATACAAGCTATATTGTGTACATAAATTATTTCCATTCTTATTATTATTATTTAGATTTGGAGCTGGAGACTAATGATTTTTGTTTGGTTTTGACTTCATTTCTAACAGCTAAAATCAATATTTCAATGTTGAATTGTTCATGACTGTTGGTTGAATGAAAAATTGAAGTTAAATAGTTTTTTATTGATTGTTTTTCAATCATAAATCGTAAAATTAATTAAAGCTTTTCTTTAAAATTAAAGTAAGCTTTTCTTTAACACGATACTAAAACAATTCAAACTTGCTTTAATTGCACCTCAACAGGACTCTACATACAATTTTTGAAGGTCACATGGAAAAGTAATTTAAGCTCAAAGCTTGAAGTTAACATTTTTGTTCACTTTTTCGTTAAGTTTCTTTAAGCAGGTTGCAAACTCTCGCTGACTTCACATAGAAATTGTTTTATTTTCATAAAATTTTACACATGTAGGAAAATGAAGGAAAAACTCATTGGAGTTGAACGTTGCGTAAGCAATTAAGTATTTTCTTTTGAAATAAATAAGTTGAAACAAGTAAGCCGAAAAGCATCGCAATGCTATTTGCTTTTGAGTGCAATATTACTTATACGCAGTGTGAGCTATGTCAACAAGTTGCAGAAGATTAATGAAGCTACTGCATATTAATGTTTTATTTGTATAGTGCACAGATATGGCGCATATAACGCACGAGTCGTGCGCTGCAACTTTTAATTTACACCACTGAGAGTTGCAAAGGGCGAAAATTGTTGGCACAGAGGAAAGCAAACTTAATGCATGACAGCTGCGTGAGAGCCGCGACACCCGAAAGTATGCAAAATAAAAAATCATGTCTTCATTTGGTTAGTACGAATGGCCGCACTCTTGGGGGTAATGGGGTAATGGAGACTCACCTTTGGACCCATTTGTAGGCCGGCATGGGATTACCATCGGCGACGCATTCGAAGGCGGCGGGACTAAAGAGCGGCGCTGTGGTAAGACGGTCCGGGCCGGCTGAAATAATTTTCGGTGGATCTATGGCAGAGTAAACACAAGAAGCGACCGTCAATACAAAATTAAGCAAAAGTTACCAAAGCAAATTCTGCAGCAACAACAAACGCGGCCAAGATAAATACTAAAAAGGACTCACATTTCACGTCCAACTGCACCGACAGCTGCTCCGAGGTGCCCACGGAGTTCTGTGCCTGGCAGGTATACAGTCCAGCGTCTCGCCGTCCAACAGGACGCAATTGCAACGTTTCCTATAAAGAGAGACGCAGAAATAGACCGAAAGTACGCAAGTACGAAGAGAGAGTTAGCAATTTAATACAATTACAAATTTCTGCTACACTTAAGATAAATACGGCGAGAGACGTCGAAATTTCGTAGCAACATAAACAACAAGCTGGCAAGGAGCCTGACTGCCAGGATGCCATTTGAGAGGGCGAAAGGGACATGGAGAGAGGGGAAAGAGCTGACTTGCTAGCTTACCTGCAAGCTGGCTATCTCGGAGCGTCCGGCACGTCGCCAAACGATGCTGGCCGGTGGATTGGCATCGGCCACGCAGCGCAGCACAAGCGCATCCTTATCCTCTTCCAAGTCGATTTCCGGTGAGCCAATTAGACGAATGGTTGGCGCATCTGCAAAGTGCACAAACACAAGAGGGGGTTAGAGAGGGAGGGAGAGAGTGACGTAGAACGTAAAGTGAGCGGGGGGTAAGCAAAACAAGCAGGAAGAAACAAGTCAACAACAAACGGCTAAAGTCGAAGTTGTCCTTATGCTCGGTCGTCTTGGGGCCAAAATCTTGAATTGCTTAACAAAACAGGAAATTGCTGCAAATTGTGGCTAATTGAATTGTTACAGCTGTTTGCAATGTCTTTTTACTTTTCTGACTTTAAGCCAAATGCAAGTAAACGCAATCAGCTCGCCCAAAGACCAACATATACTTCGTCTAGCCAAACTGGAGTCCCAAGCGGGCTTATTGTATTTTTTATGTGTTTGTGTCATTTGTTTTTGTGACTTACACTTGACATCTAGACGGGCCTCCACTGGCACCGATTTGGCCTCGTAGTTCTCGTGATAGGCCACGCAGCGCAAAATGTCCCCGTGACGTTCGCGCATGGCGGACACCTGCACAACCGAAGTGGCAGACCAGGTGCGTGTATTATCGGGCTCTGTGGCATTCAGCTGCGGGTGTATGGGCGAGATTTCCTGGTCGCCTGTCGAGAGAGAGAGCAAATCGTTGAAATTAATTAACATGACAATGTCACAGGCAGGCAGCCTGCGAGCTAGGATAACAAGTGCAATCAAAGGATAACAGCACCACCCTCCCTCTAAAGCAGCACCAACACTTACCCAAATACCATCTGAGCGTTGCAGGCGGATTACCATAATGTGAGGCGCATTTCACAGTCGCCACGGCGCCAGCGTCCACCGTGATGTTGTGTCCCGGCGGCAGTGGAGCGCTCTCAAACTCCAGACGAGGTCGTTGTGGCGCCACTAAATGTGTGAAGAGAAGCGCAAAGGCAGAGGAGAAATGACAAGCACAGATTACTAATACGACTTTTGCGGTGGGCAATAAATGTCAGCAAAGCAAGCAGCTCGAGAACAAATTTAATTGAATCTCCTAGCCTTCGAGCCGCAGCATTGTTACGCTGAAAGCGACTGACGCGTTCATATTCTATCTAGGCAGAGGCAGCATTCACCTAGACTTTGATCTCGTTAAGAAAATGCATTAATTAAATGGCTGCAATTGCCTCAGTAAAAGATTGAACTCTTAGTAAATGGGAAATCAGGCCATAATGGTTTAGTTAAAATAATAGGCAGAACGAGGCATGGTAGACACCATATAGTATGTATATTCTTGCAGCTTGCATTTTTATACCCTGATCCCATTAAAAATGGGAAATCAGGGTATAATGGTTTTGTGCAAATGTATGTAACAGGCAGAAGGAGGCGTGGCAGAACCCATAAAGGACGACAAGCCGAGTCGATTGAGCCCTGTCCGTCTGTCTGTCTGTCCGTCTGTCCGTCTGTCCGTCTGTCCGTATGTGTGAACGCGTGGATCTCAGCATCTATAAGAGCTAGAGACTTGAAATTTTTTTTGTAGGTCCGTGTATAGCACGCGCAGGTCAAGTTTGTTTCAAATATTCGATAACTATTCGCATTTAATTGTTATCGAATAAAAACATTATTGAAATGCAGTAAATAAATTATATCTCGAACTTCTTAAGAGCTAGAGCCTCCAAATTTTGTATTTAGTCTTATGTATATTTTATGCAATTTTGATTTTTGTTGGATTTTGGATACCGGCTCCAAATTCCCCCAAATTCTTCGAATTTAAGTTTAGTTGGAACTAGGGCCATTATGTGAAGGCGTTTGCATCTCAACCAAGCCAATAGGATATGTAGATCATATGCTGAAAATTTCATTAAAATCCATTAAGTAAAACAGAAGTTATTAAACAAAACGTTTGGCCAATTTGCAAAAGCACATGTCAGCAGCGTCACGCGCACGCATTTTTCCTATGCGTGTGCACACATACATTCAAATGCGTGTATTCTTTTCTATTCCAAGAATTGAAATTGCGATTGAATTGTACTGAATATTAGCTGCTACTTATGTTCAAATTTGCAACAGATCGCATAAGAAGGACAGCGGCTGCGTTGGTAGAGGCGCCGCTCGCATGCAGCTTGGTCCGGGTTCGAGACCAGTGGAGATGAAATGTTTTTTATTGTTTTATTTTTAGTTATGAAGTGGCGGTGTTTGTATTGTTTGTGCACGTTGCGCAAATAATCCGGGTTCGAATCCTGGTCTCGCAAAGTCGATTTTTATTTGTTTTCTTTTTTTTTTTTAATACTCGATACAAACTACGGAAAATATTACAAAACTCAAAGGACTGGGATCAGGGTATCTCCTAGTCGGGCACCCCGACTAGAGCTTTCTTACTTGTTTTCCTAGGCCGTGTATAGCAGGCGCATATCAAATAATCGTTAAATGTCCCAAATTTATTGTTATCGATTAAAAATATTTAGTATAAAGGCTTAGTAGCCAATATGGAAAATATAGCCATTATATTAAGAGTTTGCACTTTTACTAAACTGACAAATATTCCAATAAGTCGAATTTGTATAATTGAATCACAGTTGCGATTGCATTGACATCAACCACTAACCATCTGACATAGGAGTAGTAGCGATAGTAAGTACACAATGCGTGAGGTAGTGAACTTTCTATTGGCTGTTCCTACTATTTTTTTATGCTTTATTAAATGGATATTGATCTAATGATATCTACTGAATTACTGCCAGAGCTAATCTGGCATTAAAGGATAAAACGGAGGCACAGAATGCCACCAGTTGCATATTGGAAGTGGAACCCAAATATTAATCATATTCCAATAAGTCGAATTTGTATAATTGAATCACAGTTGCGATTGCATTGACATCAACCACTAACCATCTGACATAGGAGTAGTAGCGATAGGAAGTGCACAATGCGTGAGGAAGTGAACTTCCTATTGGCTGTTCCTACTATTTTTTTATGCTTTATTAAATGGATATTGATCTAATGATATCTACTGAATTACTGCCAGAGCTAATCTGGCATTAAAGGATAAAACGGAGGCACAGAATGCCACCAGTTGCATATTGGAAGTGGAACCCAAATATTAATCATACGTTACGTTGCATGACATTGATTGTAGCTGCTGGATTAACACTCACCACGTACAACCAATCGCACCGGTTGACTAGTCAAAGCATCTTGTGCGGTAAAATCACTGGCGGTCACTTGGCACTCCCAGAGGCCATCGTCAAAGTCTAAGGTGGCCGAGCGTATCCATAGGGAGCAATCGCCGCCGATTTGCATGGGCGGAGGCGGATGCAGATCCAGATGTAAGGCGCCATTTCCGCCCAAGGGACGCGCCGCCCATTCGTATTTCTTCAGATAGATACCCACAGGCTGTAAGGTAAGACAAAATGAGAGAGAGAGAAGGTTGCATTACTAAAGCTGCTGAAACAATGAAGGCGGATGATGATGATGATGATGTTGAGTTGTAGCAGGATGGTGCATGGCAATGAAATGGTGTGGGCGGTCTACTGGACAACGACATGTTCAGCATGTTTAACTTTTCGATGTAGTCAGGCGCATAATTTGGTCTACGCACACACAAATACTCACTGAGATAGAGATAGAGAGACAAGGTTTAGCTATTGAATGTCAGTGAACCAACCCAGTAACCTGCCACGTCCCTTCTACCCCGCCCTCACACTCGCCATCGCCAGCTGGCAGTCTGCTGCCATTTTCAACTACGTGTCGTTTAACTCCACTTACAGTAGTAGTCGTCCTCGTCGACGTCGTCTGGAAGCTTGTTGCCGTTTCTAAATTGGCATTAGTTTGTTTGCTAATTGGAAATTAAATTACAATTAGTGATCTTTGAGCGTGGCATCGTTCGCATTTAAGTATTTATGTCCTGTGCAACGCCCCCTCGAACTTAATTGCGTTTTCGTTGTCCAGTTGTCAGTTCGTTTAGTCCTTTAAACATTGTCTCGTCTTTTAATGGGTTTAATTAATTGCAGCCGCCGCAAATGGCTTCTTTATGAAAACATCAATTTGATCAGGTGTGCAACTGTAGTCTTAATTGGATGTTTTCTCAATGAAAATAATTTCGATAACACACCGAATAGCAAATGCAAATGCAAATGGCACGCTCCTAATGTTCGCATATTCGTATTCAGCATTCGTACAACTGTATATAAATGTATTCATTTGTATTCGACATTTGACATTAGCTGCGGCCAAAGGCATTTCCATTCGAGTTATTTAAATTATTATTTCGTTTTCTTTCTGACATTTTTGTGGGTCCTATCTTGGCCAACCATCGTCTTGTCAGCTGCAGTTGCGAGACCTAGGCTAAGCGACTCTCCCTCTCCCTCTCCCACTCCCTGTCTGTCTCTCTCTCTCTCTTTCTGTCTGTCTTTCACTCCGTGAGTGTATTGACCACAGCACAAAGTAGATGATGCTCAATACTGTCGACCAGCTCTGCCAATTGTCAAAATAACAATTTTGAAAGCGACCAAATATTTTGTTGTCTCCAACTAGCTACTTCTAATGTGTGTGTGTGTGACTGTGGGTGTGTCTGTGAATTTGCATGTGTGCGGTAACCGCCCTCAACGTGAACCAAATCGTTTCCTATTGACATTATTTTGCCTACCATCTACTGCCATTTGGCATTGTTGTTTGGTTTGCCAGCTCTTAGTCTGATTATACCCCGTACTTTAGCAGGTCAAGAGTGCATTTGTGTGCGAGGCAGATAACCCGACGATAATTAATAGCCTCTCATGTGGTATAAGGATCAAAAAGAAATGAGTTTATCACATATATAAAAAGTTTCTTTTATTAAATATATAAATCAACGCTAACCAAATTACTGTTCAGTCTCTGCATTGAGTACGTGGAGTTTTTATTTATGTTTGTCATAATATGATTGAGCCCCAATTATGCTTATTTGAATTGCTCTGGCTCTCAGAGACAGTTAAGTACTTTTGCAACTATTTGCAATGAATAAGTCTCTCCGATGAGTTTTCGACCGTGTCGAAAACATACTCGAATATGGCTCTTAATAAGCATTTCGCAAAAGGTATTTATGAACTGGTACTTAGCCCCAATTGAAGTGCAAGCTTCTCAGTTTGGGGCACGTCAAAGTTGTCTACTTAAGATATCGAGATGCAAAAGAATATTGTATAGAAAGCTACACAAATGCCATGCAAAAACGGGAAAGTTAGTTTAAAAAGCAAACACATACAATAACAGCAGCAACAACAACAATTGCTATAAATATGCAAAAATAAGTTGAATTCGAAATGAAGGCAAACAACATATATATATATATATATATATATTTATATATATGTATGTGTGTGGGGATTGCTGTCGAATGAGACACTCTATGCATGCAAATGGTCTGCTTGGTCATGCCCATCCATGTGTTTTGCTCCTTAGTGTCCTGCGGGCACAGAGCATGTAAACATTTAAGTATATGCTGCAAATCAAGCCAATGCGATGCGACACGACCCAATGCGATACGATCCTTGGCAATGTGCAGCATATGAAAAAGTGCATTGGAAATGCTTTGTGATTTTTGTCATGCAAGTAGGCCGTTCCCTCCCGTTCCTGCATTTGATTTTGCATAAGCAACTGTGGTTCAGACCCAAACAAGACATCAACAGCAGCAGAAGCTTTTAGCAGCATCGACGAACGCAAAAGAAACAAATAAAAGTTATGCTACAAACGCATACAAATGCCATGAATAACAAACAGCAGAATCATCTCTGAACTAAAGACAAACCCAAGTATTCATTTGCCTTGGACTCGGGCCAGTCCCATAATGAGTCCACTGTTCATTGCCACATATAATGCATCCTGCAGACCATTTTCGACTGCTATGCAAATTAACACGGATATGTTTTGGCTGCATACCAAAAAGCAATAGCCACACATAGCCCAAGTGGAGACGAATAACTGACCAGGGCTTCAGTCAAAGCATATATTGTACTGCCAAATACCCTCTAAATGTATTCAAGCTTGTGATTATTATTATTATTATTCTACTGAACTCTCTAGCTCTCATTTAACTTATAATATATACACTCTGCAAGAATCAGGCTACTATCCGGAAAATATCTTAAGGAAGATTCTAGCATTCTTGCTTGCTTCATTAGTAAAGACGTAGGTAGTAATATTAGGGCTTCAGGGTTTTTCTATCTATATATACATATTTGGATATTTCTTGTGGGACCTTATACATCTTCTGTTTTAACTCACAATGGCTAGGATATATTTATTCAGATATTATGCAGGGAAGGATGTCAATAATAGTTTTCTTTTTACCTTTTTGGAAACTGTCTACGAGTACGCAAAAGCAAAAGATCAAAAGAGAAACTTAATTGGGTTTGTCGGAGTATTTTTCAAGTGCATTGCTGGGATATTGCGTGGTCTGTGCATAGAAAAGCAAACGATGCTTATAGGCAGGTCATTGCCTTACTTGGAAAGGAGGTGTAAAATTTAAATATATGGTCGATATGGGAGCACGGATAACGCTAAAAGTATTCTTAGGTCTGCGTTGCTGACCATGAGAGCATTTCCATGTAGCGCGGCTACGAAAATACGTGTGTCTAGATGTATTTCTGTGTGTGTGGAAGGGAGGCGTCGCTGAAGGTATGAGCGTGACTGCCCAAGGCTTAGGTGCGAGCTGTCACGCATTTTCGATTAAAACTTTGGCCAGCCTCACGGTCTAATCAGAGCTGCAAGAAAGCCTGTTCAGGGCCACATATTGCTGGCGATGGCAAAGGTCACAGCTATGCCATCAGCTCCACCGCTCGCATTATTGGCTCGTCCTGCCAAAGGGCGTAAATTACTTTTGGCAGGCAGTTTGAGCACATGTGCCAGGGCTGGCAGCCAAAAAACAACACTTAATTGATCCACACGATGCGCTACGCATATGAAATGAGTTTTAGTTATGTACATATGTATTGCCGTGAGTATGAGGCAAGTTTGGATATTTATAAACTGCAAGCAAGGGCTAGTCTCATATGTGAAATGAACAAGATTGTCTGGCTGATAGCTGGTATATGTATTTCGCATGATTACCTTGTTATCCTTTTGCCAGGAACAAGAGCCACGCATATCGATTACTTTGCATGTGAGCAACGCATCCTCGCGCGGGTTCACCTCCGTGTATTTGGGCTGCTCTGCGAAACGCTGAAAGCATTCGACTCCTGAAAGAAAAGAGAAACACAGCGAATGAGCATTGGCAAGTGTCACGTGGCATTAAGAGATGTGCTCGAATGGACCGAGCTGTTTATTGCACAATAATTTCAGGGCTTACCTGCAGCACCCCTCTTTAAGTCTTATCTGCGCTATAGTTCGAGCGCATTGTTAATAGGGCAACGCGTTGACATTGCTGCATAGTATCATAAATAAGCAGCACGTTCTTCCCTCCCCCACTCCCACTCCCACTCACAGCCATGTCGCGCATGTAAGTATGCTATATTTTTAATATCGTTCGCTGCGTCCTGCATTTGTCACGCACGCGGGCAATTATCAACGACACTCGCCGCGGCAAGCGCACTGCGGCAGCCATTTGCTTATCTTTCCACTTGCCACACCCAACATGGGCGCTTCATTATCAGTTGGTTGCGTTCTTCACATACCCTGACACGAAGTTCGCTTAGGCTTCGCACTTAAACTACGCATGATAATACGATGGGCCTGACGAACTTTTTGTATATATATTTTGTGGCTTGTTAATATATTTAAAAAAGATTCTGCACTACCATCATGTATTATAAATTTAGTTGATATCATTATCGTTGTCGAAAATACCGAAATGTATGTAATATAAATAACAATATTTTATATAACAAATTATATTGACATGATCGTTATCAATATTATTAGAATACTATTCTAGTTTCATTTTATTTCTTATTCCTTTTTATTAACTTCTATTTCCTTTTAATGTTTTCAACGAAACATCATTCAAGTCAGATTGGCTAATACGTTTATATATAAGGAGTATTGCGCTTACAACTCTAATCTAATCTATGCAAAAGCTTTCCAGTGGCTTATTGGAAAGTATTGAAACCACGTTATACTAGACTATCAGCTCTTATATACTTTCAGGTATTATTTGTAACAAAAACTAGATTTTGAGCTGGCTATAAGTAATATTTAATCAGGTGGCCTAATAAATACTCGACTTCGAAAGTGCATTTAGTGTTCGGCGCCGGAAATTGGTTTTCTCCTTGTCTCTAGTGGGGAATTTATGTTAATTGCTGGCATGTTGAATATTTTCTTCGCTCTTGCACTCAATTACACCAATTACAGGTGGAAATTACACAGGCTGCTTGCGAACGATAAAAAGAGGTGCTGAAGCTGAAGCTGCTGCCACGTTAGGTGAACCAGAGTTCTTAATGACACGGAAACTGAGAGATGTAAGAGAAGCGGGCATCACTAGCTGAAGCAGTTCCGCTCGGGCTAAGTTTTTGCAACTGTCACGAGTTAATCAAAGCATTTTGGACTTTTAATGAATATTTGCACAATAACAAGCCACAGCAGCAGCCCACCTCAACCTACTTGGCCAACTCACCTGGCTTGCCAACAGCCGCTTATATATGGCCGCCAATAAACAGGCGTAAGCAAACATTCGCATGCGTGTGAGTGTGAGTGTGAGTGTGACTGTGAGTGTGCGTGTTAGTGTAAGCCGACGTTGTTTCGCGTGTGCTGGCAACACGTGACCGCTGTTAGCTGCTGAGTTGTCGTCATATTTGACATGGTTGCACACACACACATGTATAAGAATGCGCGCGTACACTCACGCAATGATTTATTACGCGTGATTGGCGTGATTGCCACTTTGATGCTTTATTTCATCTTCCCGTTGTTGTAACTGTTTTTGGGCCCCTACCTCTTGGACCCTCTTTCTCTATCTACGTTGCTGTTATTGCCAGCCACTCGTCCTGTTGGCGTTTTATCGCTTTTCGTAAATAAATTGGCTTTGTATTTCAATTACGAGTGCGGCCTCCATCGTGGCGCCCATGCAACGTCCCCATCCCTATTCCCATCCACAACTACCAGCGAACATAGACCAGACCAGGCCATTGGCCATTGACTATTTCCCATTGTTGCAACGATTTCCGAATTGCCTGCATTTTGGCGCTCATGTGGACTCATTTGGCATGCCAGCTAACTCTGCTGTTGACATGTTGCTGCCAATGTAGCTGACATTTGATTTATGCCACATCTTACCACCCCGTGGAAAGGCAATTGTTGCTTCTTCGTTTGTTCATGCCCATTTAAATTGAAATCTCTGCAACCGAATTGAAAGCCAACGAGGCACAAAGAAATCGAAAGCAAATTTAAGACCCGCAATCAAATAAACAATGACATGACCAAGCAGCAAACGCAGCGCGTGCCTATTTGCTTGAGACAAATAAAAATATTTAAAATAAATAAGTCCCCAACGAAATGTAAGCTTGCAAAAAGTTTACTGTGTTTCGAAAGCAAAAAGCAAAAAACTAAGCAAATAAATACCCAAATGAAACAAAAAGTGAGTGCGGTAAAGATTCACATAGATGAGAAACTTTATAGATTTCATAAGAACTTTCAATAATTGATTCCAATATTTGTCCATATATATACTAAAGCTATAGACAGAAGCATATATATATATATATATCTTTCAAATATATATGTCTTCTATCTTCTGGCTTTATCTCCAGTTCCGAGCTTACGATACGATTGCAGTTTTGGCTGGCTGCCTTTGCCACGCCCTGTTTTGCCCCGTTGCCAAGCCCTCGAGAGCGTGCCGCTGAGTGCTGCTTACAGCTTTTTGTTGTTGCTGTTGCAACTGTTTGTTGCCGATGCCGCTGCCTCTGCCTCTGTCGTTGGCCGAGAGATGGCGCGCGTGCCACGCTCAAGTGGCGTTTGTGCTTTGTGTAGTGTTCTCTAGTCCGCGCTCCATTCGACGTTCCACGTTTCGAGTGCGCGACGTGCCTGCGCACAGCCAACAAGGATAACAATTACTCTAGTAGCATGTCCGTCAACTGTGTCCCAACTGTCTGGCGTACGCTTTTCGCGTTTCTCATTTCGTTTTTCATGTTTCTTTTTCAGTTTTCGTTTCGTTTTATTTATTTTCAATTGTTTAGAGCTTAAATACTTTGTCTGAGCTCCCTTTAAATACATTTTTGTGCTGCCACGCCCCCTGCAGCTAGCTCCTGCTGCTATTCAACATGCCAGCGGCAGCTGCCTGCTGCCTGCAGCCTGCCGCTGTTTACTTTAGATGATGCATTGCACGTAGATGTCCGCGGCATAAATGCAGTTCCATTGAAAACGAGTCAACTAGGCACACCATGGCCATAGCCATTGCTATAAAACGCCAGGCAAACTCCTTGTCATACTGCGTTACTCATTCGTTGAGTGTGCTGCAGGGCAATAGTCCGATGTGCGCTCTCTGGTTCTCTCTCTTGTGGTATAAGACAATTTAAGGCCATTTCCCAATGCGAATTCACGCTGCAGTCCCGCCTCCATCCTTCACCTTCCACCTACCTTAACCTAGCCTTTAGCTATTCCCAGTGCTTGCTTTGTGCCGTTTGAGACCATCTTTTTTGCACTGGCTTTGTCGGCGGCAATCAATGAAAGCAATTTGTGAATCTCTTGTGCAATTTTATGAAATACAAACGAGCTCAATCCGCAGGCACAACACTCACACGCACATAAGCTTGAGAGGTATTGACAGCTAAGCAGATACGATAAAAAATTCTATGCAAATCAAATATGGGCGATGATTTGTAAATTTTCAAATTTTTAACGTAGAATAAGAAGCACATCGCAACAGCAGCAAATAAGCTTGCTGCTCTGGACTACTTTGGCACCTGCAACTTACACCTTACACGCGCTGAGTATGTGCTAAGCAAACATGCAAGCCATGGGGATTATTGCAGGGAATACTCGTTTGCTCTACACAAAAAAGGCGAGCCAGACACGCCCAAACCCAACAAAAGAATCAACAGCAACAGCAACAGCAACGGCAACAACAACATGGAACATCAGCAAAGCAAACGCGCACAGCATTTAGAGTCCCTGTGCGGTCCCTTCATTGTGTGTGTGTGTGTGGGTGTATATGTGAGCGCTTAGCTAAAATGAGATCCTTGCGTTATCCTTGTGGCTGTATGTCGTTGCTTCGACGCCAGTTATACGGCCACCTACTTAAACATAATGATATATTTAGCTTGCCAAGTGATTGTTATTTGATATTCAACAGATTTCTGAGCTTTTTGCTTTGCATGCGCATCCTTTCTCCGCCTCTTCCCACACACACCCGCTAACCAATCCCCAGGACGTTCACCTCTCTTATCCAACTCAATGTGTATTGTTGCTATTGCTATTATTTCCTAAGCTCCACTACTTCAGTTGCCATTAAGATGTTCGCTCGAGTATGTGAAGGCTTTGTGTCAATAGTGCGTATACGTAACGTGCTCTTAGCAGATTTATTGTGGGCCTCTTTGGATAACTGAATATTTAAAGAGTTACCAGCGATTAGCCTTTCTATTACACATAAATACACACACAAGTAGATTAGTGTGACTTAGGGCTGTGCGACCACATTTTCCATTTGCCAAAAATAATTTATGATTTGAAACAGGCCCTTGAGCCGATGCTCCATGCTTGGCTGCTTTTCATTGCCTACTGTTACAAAGCGTTCAACGGGCTTAATTAAATATATTAAACTTTTCATTTATAATTGGAATATTTGAAATCGATGATAGATAGTTTGCTCCTTCAGCAAGTATTTTGCTCCATTTCTATACAGAAAATATACAAACATTTTCAGTTTAAAGTTCTGATTTTTTCATTCATAATATCATAGCTCATTGCCAATGGCGCGAAATGACCCGTAACGCAGTTTTTTTTATTATATTATTATTCCTGTTGCTGTTTGGCACTCGACAATTTATGCATTTATTTGTAGCTGCGAACATGGCTCGTTGATTTATTGTATTGTGCTCTCAAACTGTAATATTTCTGCCTGAGTGTCGCTCTTCAAATTGCCCAGAGGGTGTGCGTGTGTGTGAGTTGTATTCATAGGCCTTTCAAGTGGGCACTTGGATTAATGCTCGTCGCTGCTTTATATGTTATGGCCGTTTCATGTATCACAGCCAGCGGACGGCGCCTTCACCACTTGCCCCACTTGACCCAAAGTTTTATTTAGTTGTGT